CAGGAGAAAATTTGCCACCGCCAGTGATACCAAGTAGTAAATTATTGACTTTGACATGTCCAGGTTTCCCTTCCAGAGAACGACCATAGTCACAATACTGGCTGCAGGAGAGAAGAAGGGAAATTCAGTAAACATGATACATTTCTTTCAAATGAGATATAATTTATTGACTAGATTTAGGGTTCAGTAACTATATCCTTTTATTGCCCCCCTTTGATCCTCTCATTGTTTCCTTCTGTTTTTTTCCCATTGCTTCTTCACAGGATCCTTTCACTGTCTACCCCTCCCCCAGGATCCTCTCCATATCTCCCACCAAGATACTCTGTCTCTCTCCAGAATCTTCTACTACCAAGAAACTCTGTCTTTCTCCAGAATCATCTCCATTTCTCCCACCAAGATACTCTGTCTTTCATCAGAATCCTCTTCATTTCTCCCACTAAGATACTCTGTTTCTCCCCAGAATCCTCCACTAGTAATGAATAAAGAGACCCATTTTCAACAGTAACTGGACGACACACATTTCCAGGGGTACAACCAGGGCTCGAGTCCTGCAGGAACGCATGGGAACGGCGTTCCTGCACTTTTTCCAAAGCAGGAACGCCGTTCCAACCTGCAGGACCGGCCCTGTTACCTGCACGTAACATCACATTGTGTTCCTCCCAACTCTCAGACCCGCGGCTGTTACCATGGCAACGCTCCGCACAGGCGAGTCTCGCGAGAGTTAGAGCTGGAGAGGGAACACTGCGTGTGATGGCCCCTCTGTGCAGCGGCTGCCTCCCTCCAGCATACCACCGGACCACCTGGCGATCTCCCCCCTCCCTGACAAGGTAAGAAGCAGGGAGGGGGGAATAAAATAAACACAAAGTAAGAAAAAAATGCTTCCCCCCCCCCCACACCCATCATCCAGCACTCACACACACCCATCATCCAGCACACACACACCCATCATCCAGCACTCACACACCCATCATCCAGCACTCACACACCCATCAGCCATCACTCACACACCCATCATCCAGCACACACACACACACCCATCAGCCATCACTCACACACCCATCATCCAGCACACACACACCCATCATCCAGCACACGCACACCCATCATCCAGCACTCGCACACACATCATCCAGCACTCACACACACACATCATCCAGCACTCACACACACATCATCCAGCACTCTCACACACATCATCCAGCACTCTCACACACATCATCCAGCACTCACACACCCATCATCCAGCACTCACACACACACATCATCCAGCACTCACACACACATCATCCAGCACTCACACACACGTCATCCAGCGTGCACACACACATCATCCAGAACACGCTGCATTCATTATACACACTCTGCATTCATTATACACATTCTGCACTCACTACACACTACATTCACTATACACACTCTGCATTCACTACAAACACACTACATACACTGCATTCATTGTACACACTCTGCACTCACTACAAACACACTAAATTCATTATACACAATTTGCACTACACAAACACACTACATTCATTATACACACTCTGCACTCACTACAAACACACTACATTCACTATACACACTCTGCACTCATTACAAACACACTACATTCACTATACACACTCTGCACTCACTACAAAAACACTACATTCACTATACACACTGCATTCACTATACACACTGCACTCACTACAAACACACTACATTTATTATACACACTGCACTCACTACAAATACACTACATTTGTTATACACACTGCACTCACTACAAATACACTACAATTATTATTCACACTGCACTCACTACAAACACACTACATTTATTATTCATACTCTGCATTCACTACAAACACACTACATTCATTATACACACCCTGCACTGCACTATATGCATAGGAGTGTAATTTTTTTTTTTAATTTTTTTTTTTTAAGGGGGTGGAGGCGGGAATCTTGGGTGAGTTCCCACACCTTTTTCCCCAGGACTTGACCCCTGGGTACAACAACAACTTTATCGACCACACTTGGCTTAGTACTTTTCCCATGCAAGGGGTGGATCACTCATACAGACAATGTCCCCTCCCAGGGGTCGTATAATGGAACTGGAACCCCAGTCCCTTTGTCCCTTGTTCCCGCCACTCAGTGTCACCTGGGGCCTTTGCAGAGGACAGGAACTCCAGTTTCTTTGACCTCAGTTCCCGCCACTCAAATACTGGGTTTCCAACTCCCCGTGGCAGGACCCTCTGTACCTGGGAGTCCCAGCATGGGAAAACTTCTGCCTTCTGGGCTCCCAGGCACAGAAAGCCCGCCAAACCACCATTGTCCCCAAAGAGTGTCCCCAGCAATCTCAGGCACCCTCCAGAATGGCAACCGTCCCGAACCATCTCTATTTGCAGGGTCCCTGGGTGAAACCAGGCAAGGGAAGCGTCTCCTTTCTGGACACAAACGCTCGCCCTGGCCGGCGTTCGTCTGTACAAACGGCAGCCACCCAGGGAAGCGCACATTAATTACTTCCCTTGTGGGGAAGTAACTTATGTTGCAAGTTGCCAACGTTCTAATTGATTGGTGTGAACACTCCAAGGGACACTGGGGAGGTCCTCGTTCGGGAGCCGAACGAGGTGGGAAGCAATCTGTGAATGCTCCCCCTGGAGGCGTTTGTTTAACGAATGGGCCGCCACCAAGCGCCGGCACGCGTCAAGGCTTCCCTTGCGGTTTGTGGTTTTCACACCTCACTAACAATTTGTGAACATTCTAACGAGGTGTGAACATTCTAAACAAACATTCTAAATGGGGTATCGGGGTTGTCCCTGTTCGGGAGACGAACAGAACCCTTTTGTATAGGGCCTCCCGAATGGGGAATAAGTAGAATACAAGAATATAACACAAT